AAAAAAAAAAAAAAAAAAAAAAAAATATATATATATATATATAACTTCTAAAACAGTGAGCTTACAATATAATGCAGCAGACTGCTGGCACACTTAGTGTAATGTGAAAGTATGTTCACTAAAAAAATATTTGAAACACGACCATACACCTTTATGAAAAATTATACAAGGCTTTTACTTTAAGCTATTTCATAAATACCACAAGAAAACTTGGACACAGCTTGTGTTAAAACTTAGAAAAATTCCTTTTTCCATAAAGCAAATGTGTAAATCATTCCTTTTGACTCCTTCTTCCAGTCCTCCTTCACTGTGTTGAAGAGATATTGAGTGCTTCCATATTTTTGGTTAGGTGGGTGGTTTCCAAACTGACTGGACTCTCCAGGTAGGTGGTTCCTGCACAAGGTTTTCCTGTCACTGGATCTATGACTTTTCCAACTTTGAAAACAATCTCAGCCAGTTCATGTTTCACATGCTTTGTTCGTGGAACAGGTAAAGCTTTGAGAAGCACAATATCTCCAACTGTGCACTGCTGAAGGGCATCGTGAGCAAAGTAGGTTTTTCGCTTATTAAAATACTGTTGAGAGAAGGACAGAACAAATCAGTAGTTCTCATCTGTGAACTGTCAGTGCACTACAGAATATGAAAAAGTAATGCACTGAAAGCAAGTCAGGACTTGGGAAAAGATATTTAAGGAGACTTCTAGTACCAAAGTTAGCTGCTTAATTTCTGGAAAACAGTAATGACTTTTCCAGAATTGACCTTGCCCTGCAGTTCTACAGACCATTCCCTTCACTACCCTTGCTCTATCAATTATAACCATCTCTCCCTAAAACTACTTAAACTCTTCCCAGAGAGAACCTTCTTTCCAGTCTATAAACATGCTGCTCTCACCACTACCAAAGAGTCACTTAACCACTCCAAGTTCGGTTTTTTCCACCATAAAACAAGGCCCTAAATTCGTAAAGAGAATTAAACATTATAATAGGCATAAAGCACTTAGCTCTATGTCTGGTTCAAAGTATTGCAAAAAAACCACAAATGATAAGTAGAATCACCCTATTCTTTATAATAACCCTGCTGTGGCAGGTATTCTCATTTTACAGATGAGAAAAACAGGTTCAGAGAGGTTAAATAAAGTGCACAGCTGGTAAACAACAGTCAGTAGTCAAACTAAGGTCTGTAATCCCAGCACATAGGAAGTGGAGGCAGGATTGCCTGAGCCCAGGAGGATGAGGCTGCAGTGAACCATGATTGTGCCCCTGCACTGCACTCCAGTCTGGGTGACAGAGAGAGACCAGCCTCAAAAAATCCTATTTGAGATTCAGCACAAATGTCTCTTCATCAAGGATGCCCTCCTATAGCGAACTGGAAGGAAAGCATGAAATGCCATGTTCTCTGCACCCACAGCACTCTGCTTACAGAATGACTATAGCAGTTGTCAAATTGAATGGAAATTAATTCTTATTTTCTTGGAATGTCAGTATGAAGCACGCTATACCCACAGACCAGCAAAGTGCCCGGCTGGATGCTCCAGGCGTCTTTACTGATAGGGAAATGTTTTCTGCTCCGGACCCAGAACACGTTGGTGATTTACCAGAGCCAACTGAATACAGAAATGCTGCTCACCTTTAACAAGTAGGGATCCAGAACAAGCCTGGTCACTCTCACTTTAGCAGTTTTTTGCATTGCTGTCCCAATCACCTTCCCCACGATCCATTTGGCGTGGACGGATGAACGAGCTACCGACATTATGTGCCCTTGAGGTCACCTGAAAAGCAAATTCCCAAGTTTAATACGCTGGTGGTTACGACGCCAAATAAATTTTGCCACAAGAACTGCCTAAGTTCAGTAACAATTTGTGTTCGCCTTCTGGAATCACCATTTGAGAGATGCTCGCGCTCTCCTCACTACTCAACTTCTACAGCGTTTACACAGCGGTAACTTTCCCCCTCTGCAAAATGGGAGCAACCACAGGAGTGCTTTGAGGACTTAACACAGAAAGCGCTGAATAAACGCTGGCCTTTACTGGTGTCGCTTATTTCCATCCCGCCGGGTTGCCTGTCCCCAGGGCTCACTGCCAGGCCACTCGCTGCACGTAAGCCCTTGGTGGAGTCGCGGCGGCGTTCTTCTCAGGGGCCGAGACCTCGCCTTGGGGGCTGCTTTCGGGGTCAATTAAGAAGTCAATCCTGACGGGCCTGGGGAAGGTTGGGGACATTGGCCCCCCTGCCTCACATAACCCTGGCGACTTCACCCGCTCCGAGGGCGTCTCAGGGGAAGCTGTCACGGATTCCCCCAAACCCTGCGCGTACTCACCTTCGGCGCCGCCGTGTAGCCACGTGACCCGCTGTGCGCCGGTGGGAACGTGGTGGCGTCACGCCGCACGCGACTGGCTCCGCCCCCGCCGCGCCTCTCTCGGGTCGCAGGGCTCCTTTGCCGTGGGCGGAGTTAAAGGCAGGACTCCGCCTACTCTCGTTTAAAAGGAGCCGCGCGGGGGGCTCGGCTGGGAGTCAGTAAGCTGCGTTTTCCCGGCGCGCTTCGAGTGGTCTGCGGCGCAGGGGCTTCCTACCTTGTTCTTCTATTGGTTTCCTTTCCTTTCCCTTCCCTGATCTCCAGACATTGGACAAGGCATTCCAAATCAGAGGAACTTTTATTCATCAAACATTGAAACATCGGAAGTTTCTAAATGCTGAGATTGAACAACTTAATCATTTCTATTCCCTACAGCAGCGTTGAAGATAAACCTGTAGGTTTTTATGTTCACTTTTACTTTGGGTATTATTTCTCACTATCTGTGAGAAGAAGGGAGGGCTGGTGTGGGCACATCTAGATGTGTGCCCACTGTAAAAGGGTTTAGATGGGCCGGGAGCAGGCTGTCTGATGATGTCTTCTCGGATGGTGGGGACACTGAGAAAATAAATGGCTCTTGTTGGAAACTGCTAAGAGGAACAACAAACAATATGCTACTGGAACAGACAATTTGCAAGCCAAAATATAGGTGTGGCTAATCTTCTTGAACCACCGAAACCTCTTAGCAATTGATGAGAGAGGCCCGGGAAAATAAGAATTCATCCATGCATCAATGAGGCCAACATGCATTCATTTTTAACAAACATCTATGAAACACGTATTCTCAGACTCTATGCTATATACTGGGGCCAAAAGATGAGTAAAAGGGAACCCTCAGCCTCAAAGGCCCACAGTCTAATAGCGGCGGATGAGAAAGAGACAATTATAAAGCAGCCATGAATAATGGGAGCCTTGAGAACAGAGTGTCCAACTTTGAGGAGAGAGGATACTTGATCAGTACTCCCCCACCAGGCTATAGCTTGGAAGAAGAGTGACATGGGATGTGGGGAGGGCATTTGAGGCAGAAAGTGGAGCATGTGCAGGGGTGCTGGGGTGTGAGAGAACATAGTATGATCAGCAAGATCTGCCAGAATATAGGCTGAGAGGAAGAGGTGCTGAGATTGAAGGTGCACAGGACTAGGTTCTCTACCCAGGAGGTATTTCTTATTAAGGATCTGACCTTTTCTTCTAAGTGATAGGGAGCCTTTAAAAACGGAGTAGTTTTGCGAGTTTTCAAAATCATTCTGGTAGGTGTGTAGAAGACAGAATAGAGGTGAGAGAGATTGGAGGCTGAATGCTTAGAGGATGGTGATGACAAAATGGAGCAGTGGAGATGAAAGAGAAGTGTGTTAGAGAAGTGACTGGGAAACTGGACATGTGAAGCAAAGGGACTAAGAGGGTGTGTGTGTGTGTGTGTGTGTGTGTGTGTACATGTAGATAATAATAATAGAATTAAGAATTGTACTAGTCTGATCACACTGTCATAACAAAATACTGCAGGCTGTGTGGCTTAAACAATAGAAATTTGTTTTCCCACACTTATGGAAGCTGGAAGTCCAATTCACTTTCTGGTGAGGGCTCTTTTCTTGGCTTACAGATGGCTACCTTCACACAATGTTTTGTCACTCTCTCCTTTGGTCAAAACTTTAGTTAGGGTCTTCTGAGTCTTCTTTCTGACTAGGCTTTGACCTTGGGTTTCCTTCTTTGTCCTTGTAGAATCCAGTTTGAGCAAGAATCCTGCAAGTTCAGTTTAGCAAAAACACTCCTACCCTTGGTAGCTGTTCTCATTTTCCATCCTTGATACCTTATCACCCTGACCTGCCTTAAGCAAGAACTCTGTTGGGTTGGTCTATCCAACTCAACAGTATCTGCCTTACTCATGATGTTTCTTCTTCGTTTTTTTGAGTTGGAGTCTCACTCCATTGCCCAGGCTGGAGTGCAGTGGCACGATCACAGCTACCCCAGTGACACCTGCTGGGCTCAGGCGATTCTTCCGCCTCAGCCTTCCAAGTAGCTGGAACTATAGGCGCTCGCTACCATGCCCGGCTAATTTTTTACTTAGTGTACAGACAAGGTCTTGCCAAGTTGTCTGGGCTGGTCTTGAACCTGTGGGCTCAGGCAATCCATTCGCCTTGGCCTCCCAAAGTGCTGGGATTACAGGCTGAGTCACTGAGCCCGGCCAATGTTTCCTCTTAGTAATTTTGCATCCACTGACTCAGCCCTGCTCCTTCACTGACAGCCATGCTATTAAATCTCCACTGGCCTTGTTATATTCAGAGTTGAGCCTGATCTCTCTCCTCTACTTCAAGAGCTCATTGCAGTTGTCCCTACACTTATTGTGATAGTCCACCTTTAAATCAATCTTACTTTACAAATAATTTTTTCTTTAACAGTCTCAAAATAGCCTTTCCTTTGTGTGCATGTATAGCAGGAGAGAAAGATCCATATCCATGAAGATGAGGTATGGAGGTTTAGCTTTCTTGGTCTAAGACCAGATTCTCTTCCATATTTTGAGTGCTATAATTATCATCTTATTCAATCAGAGTTTCTGAGCTATGGCTATATGATTTGAAATAAATTTCTTAATTCCTCTGCTTCAGGCTTGTCAACTATAAAATATAAATTTTCAACTACGCAAATCTATAAAATACAGTTTACTCAACAAATATCAATTCTCTTGTATCTCATTCATTATTTGAATGTTTCCCAGTACATATTTAATTTTAATTTTATTTTTATTTTTGAGTTGGAGTCTCACTCTGTCACCCAGACTGGAGTGCAGTGGCTGCTCCCGGCCACCGCAGCCTCGACCTGCTGGGCTCGAGCGATCCTTCCGCCTCTGCCTTCCGAGTAGCTGGAATTACAGGCACGCGCTACCACGCCCGGCTGATTTTTTTTTATTTATTATAGAGATGAGGTCTCGCTGCCCAGGCGGGTCTCAAACCCGCAGGCTCAGGCAATCCACTCACCTCAGCCTCCCAAAGGCGCAGGATTACAGGCTGAGCCACCGAGCCCAGCCCCAGTACATATTTTAAAATCCCTATTAAACAAATATATTGTTTCACCTAAATGTTTATTTTTAAATGTTATTTTAAAAATACCTAAATGTTTATTTTATTTTATTTTATTGAATCTGAGTCCCATTCTGTCATTCAGGCTGAAGTGCAGTTGCCCACTCATGACTACCGCAGCCTTGACCTGCTGGACTCAGGTGATCCTTCCGCCTCATCCTTCCACATAGCTGAAATTACAGGCGTGCACCATGGCTAATTTTTTAATTTATTGTAGAGATGAGGTCTCACCAAGTTGCCCAGGCTGGCCTCGAATCCCTGGGCTCAGGCAGTCCTCTGCCTCTACATCCCAAAGTGCTGGGATTAAAGGTGTGAGCCACCGAATCCAATTTAAATATTTATTTCTCAAATGTTATTTTAAAAAAATACTGTGTACTAGGCATTATGATAAGTTCTATCCATATTATCTTATCCAGTTCTTGCTACAACTTTATTAGGCAGGTACTATTATTGTTGTCATTTTGCAGATGAGGAACCTGATGCTGAGAGAGGCTAAATAAATTGCTCCAGGTCCCATAGTCAGCAAATGGAAGAACTTGAACTTGAACTTGAACTTAGGCAGTCTTTACTACTAACACAGGAGAAGGCTGTCTCCCCCATCTGCCTTCTAGCAATTAACAAATTAAATGTTTAAGTGCCTATTCTGTGACCAGAACTGTAGATAGGAGTTAAAACACACAGGTCTTTCCCCCTAAAAAGTTAGAATCTGCAATGGTTTGAATGTGTGTGTCCTTCCAAACTTCATATGTTAGAACTTAATACCCAATGTGATATTATTAAAAGGTGTGGACTTTGGGGTAGCCATTGAGTCATAAGGACTCTGCCCTTGTGAATGGAATTAATGTCTTTAATAAAAGATGCTTCAGAGAGCTGCCTGTCTTTTTTTGACCCTTCTTCCACATGAGGACACTGCATTTGTCCCCTCCAGAGGACACAGCACAGAGTGGAAGCAGAGACCAGTCCCTCGCTAGACACTGAACCTGCTCACATCTTGATCCTCAACTTCTTAGCCTCCAAAACTGTATGAAATAAATTTCTATTCTTTATAAGTTACTCAGTCTCTGATATGTTACTATAGCAGCAGAATATACTAAGGGGTTCAAGTGTGGGGGAAAAAAATAAAAATGCAACATAAGTAGGAATCAAAGCTTGTTATGATATGAGGTACACACTAAACGAAGTGGAAATTCAGAGAAAGCAAAGACTGATAAAGCAGGGGAAGACAAGGAAGAAAGATTTCCCAAAAGACACTTCTAGAAGACTCTTAACAATATGTAAGTTTTGAACAGTCAATAATGTCACATCACCAGAGGCTTGACTAAAGGCCAGTGTGGCTTGAACACTGAATAGTAGGGAAAGCGGCAAAGAACACAGCTGAAGAGAGGCAAGACCACAACAAATGGGTCAAAAAGAATAGATTTTATTCTAAGTGCATATGGAAGCTAGCAATGGGTTTCAGCAGTAGGGCAACTTGCTCTGCTAACATTTTAAGATAACTTTAACGGAGACTAGATTATGGGACAAGACTGGAGGTAGAAAGAATAGTTAGATGATAAACCTTCTTGAGACATGTAGTAGAATTACTGTACAGTATGGGGGTAAATTGAGGTTTTCATTATGGATTTAAAATAAAATCAGTTAACTCAGCTATGATTTTTCCTTTAGTCACATACATGTGTTTGGTGTAAGCTAGAAGAAGCCACGCACTGGGTTTGATCCAGAGTTGGGTTTTTGAGAGAGGGGGAGAGGAACGAACAGTAACTTATT